TTGCCTCCTCAATGTGTCCAGATTTCTTTGCTTCTGGATCTGGTATGTTCGGTTTTTTGAACCCAGATTTATACTGTGTTACTGCTATTATTGCACCTCCTGGCCAGCTTTCTTGCCCCAAGAACATGTGACTTGATAGGCATCATACAAAAATTGTCGTAGAAAATGGGGCATTTATTAATAAGCAAGATGAATATTGTTTGCTTTTCTTGCAATTACAAACTGGGTATGGCAACTCAGATGTTATCAGGGTTGAACACGTAATTTTATAGATAACTTCTTTTTCTTTAGTATTTTTTCTCTTGTAGGTAAACTGGACCAGATAAGTTCTTATTTATTGACCTCTCCATATGATAGGTGAATGATGAGAGGAAACTAAGGTCTATAATAATCATTATTCTATGTAAGAATGCAGAGTTAAAATAACTATCTGCCTTTTTTCCAGAAGTACCTTGAACTTTAACATGACATTAACATGTCCACTTGTATATTTAAGCAAGTGTACTGTAGTTAAAAACACACTTTTTTGTTTGTTTTATAAATCCTGTATCCTTAAAAAGCACACTTTGAAGGGTGAGAGAGAAGCTAGGCTGCTCTCTGAGGTTGTTTGGAAAGATGATCAGGTGTAATATTTTGTTTTTTAAATCACTAATTTAGAATTTTTGGAAACCAGATTTTTCTAATTTATGGGAACCAAATAAACATGTTGCGTCTTGTAGTATTTATAGAATACAGAAACAGAATACTTGTTGAATTTTGAGGGAACCACAAATCTTCTTCCACTTTCATTAAGTCAATAACAATTACCTTCTTGGTGAACCTTTTTGATAAAAATTTCTATTTAGCAATTTGTAGATACTTTTGAAAAAGGCTGCTTCTCCTGGACAAGTTATGTATTCATGCTCTAAGCCTGGGTAAGTGCATTAGTATAGAATGATCTGGGAAAGCTAAGGCAGCAGGTGGGATATGACATGCCTGGTGCCAGGTATTTGGAGGATGTCTGTTAGAGAGAGGGTGTCTGAACACAAGTCCACTGGTAAAGAGCTGCTTTAAAATTACTTCAAGAAAACTTGCTGCAGTGATGGGAACCAGTCAACACAAATCTGTTATGAACCTAGAATGAAAATTAGACGGATAAAGGAAGAATGTCTTACTAACTAAAGGGCCAGTTTGTATCACTTTTTTCTTCCATGCCTTTTTCTCTTTTGCTTTTTCCACTTTTGTTACAATTTCCCTTTTATAATAATGAAGTAATGAATGGTAGGAGGTCTCTAATATGCAAACTGTAAACTTAAAAATTATTCTCTAGAAAAGTCATGCCCAGAAAAGTAACTTTAATACTTAATGTATGCAGTTCAGATAATTTTCTATGTCTAAGCAAAGGCTGACGTCTTTTTTCCTTTGCAGCAGCTTCTTCAAACAAATTAATGTGATGAAGGATCACCAACATAATGACTTACCTACTTTAAGCAGATCAGAAAATATTCCAATAGTGTCAATAACAAAAAACTTAAAGCCAGAATGTTGTTTAAAAACATTCTGTTACTAAGATTTTTCCAAATTTGTGTATTCACATTTATTTATTGAGCTTGAAAAATAAATACGTCGAGCTAAGTGTTTGTTATCTTATTATTTTCAGTGACATTATTGCCACTTTAAATTCCTTTTTGAAGAAATTTAGCTGGAGCAGGCATTGCGGCTATTGAGTGTATCTTTTTGCTGAAGATACTTGCTCGTATTGGAAGAATTTGTGTAACACTTCCAGTTTTAGACAGATGTACTTGAAATGTAATATTACCTAGTTAGGGTAATATTGTCATTTGGTCACAAAGGAAGAAGAGTTAAATGTCAATGCTCATCATTCTGAACTCCCAGATAATTCAGTTTCACTTTCAGGAAAGGAGTAAGGGTTTCAAGTTATTTGAGATGGCAGGCATGCTATTCAAACACTTTGCTGTTAATATCCTTTTTTCTTTACAGGTCTTGAAGCTTTGGAAAAAAGGTAAAGAATTTCTGAAATCTAGGGCATTGTTCTGCATGAGTTGAGCTTGTTAATGGCAAAAGCTGTAAGCAGATGAGCTTGTTAACATCCAAAATGTAATACATCTGGAAGCTTAATTTATATGCTCCTGTGACTAACCATTCCAAAAGCAACTATCACAGTTGGTATCTATGGCAGTATCTGGTGATCAAAAAAACTGAACAGAATTGCTTTTTTTCTGTGAGCTTGGAAAACAATACTACAAAATATTCATGGAGTACCAGAAAGCTGATGTCTACTTCTGACTATTTACTTAACTTGCCTTTTTTTTGAAGCTCATGTTCTGGCAAAAGGGTACAGATTTGTACTTTAAATCTGGCTACATAAATTAGCTAAAAGTGTCCAGAAAAGTAGAGTAGAACTTGTTTTCCACCAGATAAAAGCTAGCACACAAACCAGAATCATAGAGTTTTTGTTGTTGCATTGTAGTTGTGAAATAGAAAAGCTAAATGTAAGTACTCTCAAAATCAGCAAATAATTGAGCACTGCCATAGTGATAAATGCTTTTCTAAAGGGCACTTTGTAAATGCTCAAATATACTACTTCTCTTGTGACACTCATATGGAATCTGAGACCCAACAAAGCAGATCCAAAGGAAGATTGTAACACCCGAGGGTGAAAGTAGCATTCCTGAAAATTCACTTAAACACAATGCAAAAAATATATTTTGCAGCTAGCCATCTAGTTAATATAATAAAGTATGCGTTCAGATAGTCTTTGCAGATCCCTTCTTGTGGATCACAGACACACAAGCCAAAAGCGCAGCATATGCTTTTCTGTGTACACGTGCATTGGATTGCCAGTCAATCTCTACACTCATTTGCTCTCTCACGTTATTGCAAATGTTTCTTGAAACTTGTATTCACAAGTTCTTGGAAAAATTTTCCAGTGTGTAATAAAAGGCAATTTGAGTTCTTGAAACTGAATCTTTTGGTGCATT